GCCACAGGTGAACGACCATTTGGTGAACAAAGTCATGGTATAGATCTTGTATTAGACATCTATAACGGAGTACGACCTACGATACCGAATAATGTTCCTAAATTATTCAAGTTTATTATTAAAAAATGTTGGGATCCTATTCCAGAAAACAGACCAACTGCTGAGGAACTTTATTACTTTATCCTCTCTATCGATGAAGATGCGACAGAGGTGAATACTTTGCATTTTCAGTACTACAACCCTTTAGAAAATAAGACACGCGAAGAATTTGAAAAGTGTGTTAAACTAGAAAAGCAGAAATTGAAAGAATTTGACGAGAAGGTGAAAAGCATCCCTACGAATATGAACAAAAAACAAGAAATCCACTCAAGCGCAGTTTACACCAGTAGAATTTTTACTTCAAAACTAATTTCAATTCCAACTGAGACAGGTATTTTATATTTCTAAATATAAATCATAATGATATCATCGTTTCACGTTAATTAAAATTTATATCGAATGTTTAGGGTTGACAAGTGTCAGTTTGTTTGTTCCATGCGATTTCGATTTTAGCATACCACATGAAATCAAAGAGAACGAAGAGATGTCGAGTAACTTGCAAGAAAAACTACAGACTCATGATGAAACACTTCCAACAAAATAGGACAATGTCAAAAAGAAATAGTAACTACTTTATACTTTAAAATTTTTATTGTCGTTGATTTAATTTAATTTAAGGGTCTAAAGATCGATATTAATTGTGTAATTTCGAGATCACGCATATATTTTATTCAATTACATATATCACATTAACGTTAATATTATCGTTATCTGTAGTAATTTATTGCAGGTTTACACTACATAAATGCTCTTCTAAAATATCGAATACTCATCATTGTAGTGAATGCGTTTTTTATCGGGTACGGATGTACTCGTCATATCATAAACTGTCTATTGCTATTAAAAGAATGCGAGAAAATCAGTAGAATACGTATCTTGCAAAAGGAGGTTTGGAACAATTATTAAGCATTACATCCATGACAAAAGGTGGGATCTGGAGAAAATATAAATGCAAAGTTGCGTTAAAATTATTATACAATTCAAAGCAAAATATATGCGTTATCGTTATAGAACCACATTAAAGAGATAAAAAAATATAATTTTTTAATTTGTTAACATCAATTCCTCCTTCACCCGAAAATAAGACCAAGTGAAAGCAATCATATGCTAAAATAATTACATCAATTATAATGAAAAAGAAATGAGAAATCTAAATTATTCATTTGACGTTATCATTTAATACCGTTTAAAAAAAAAGTGGGAAAACTACATAACATTGATATTGAATTTCTAATTGGTTCGCCGCAAGTTACACTAAAATTCCTGATGAACATACTGACACATGTACTGAAATGCATACCGATACGTACACACATAAGAATTTTTTTAAATACATGTACATACTACTGTTGCATTCCTTTCAGTATTCAGCCAAAAGAGTTTATTCTATGATGGTTGGGCACCAGATTGTTGTGTTTATTACAATAATTAATCGACTCAAGGAACTTTCTGCAATTAGACTGAATTATTTACGGTTGGAGGATTTTCTCTGGTTGTTCTAAAGATTTCCCGTGGTGATTCATTCACAAATCGACCTTTTTTCAACAGATAAGGGAAGGGGGGTTGTTTTAAAGAATAGATAGAATAGAACCACGCTTGTAACAAAGAGCAATTTGTTATAATAAAATATTTATTTTTTTTAACAATAATCGATATATTCACAAATGTGACAGGACTTATTAATATGGCCTGTCCAAAAGAGACTCTATACTAAAAAATATTAAATAGAACTTATTGATATAGCCTGTACAAAGCTAAAGGCAATCTAACAAAACTTATTGATACAGCCTGTACAAAGAAAATAAAATCAAGGTAATAATTCAAAAAGAAATCAACGGCTTATTTAGAGTGAAGAAACATCCATTACTTGCAATTACTCACAAGGTTTGAAGTTTGATCAAGAAAAATAAAATAATAGTATATTCACAAGTACTACTATTACGAGTAAGAACTTTGTTATTTTATTAAATCAAAACATGACTTGAAGATGCTTCTATATACAATTTTGGATTACTACGCTAATTCTAAAGTTAACGATTTATATTGATGATTTCTTTTGAAACGTTCAAGCATCAATTGTTCAATATCTTTTGATTGTCCGGATTATTATCATCCTCTTCTTGATAATCACTATCGTTACATGCATTAATTATCATTCGAGGTTCTTTTATTGTCCAATTAATTGTTGGAGTTATTATCATCCTTTTGATGATCACTACCGTTACGTGAAAATAAGATTGTATGTGTAAAATTGCTTTTCCAACATTTTTTATTAGCTTGTATCAAAGACCACGTGATTCAGCATTGTCCATAAACTTCCCGAAAGAGTACAGATATATTTGATATTTATATAAAAAATAAGATATATACATATATTCAAAAACAAACACATAATCATGAAAGCAAAATATTACTTTCAACTAAAAAAGAATAGCAGGATTAGAAAAATCGTCGTTCATTGATTTCATCGTTTTCTGCAAACATTCTTTCAACAACATCTGTTCTTACGACGTATCCTTTTAATACGCGCTCCAATGCTACGACACGTCGTCGAAGTACTCTTATCTCACCCTCAAAAGAATTCCTATCAAAAGATTTATCAGCATCATTTAAGAATGGTATTTCAGGTCGTTTCCCACCTTTCGCATAAACATTTTTCGCCTTTCTTACATAATCTTCTTTAAGTACCAACAATCTTCCAACCAATCCCCAAGGATCAACTCGGAAACTCCCAAACAACAAACCATAAATAAACATCAACAAAAAAGCTAGTCCTCCAAGATTCGCAAAGAAATTCAAAGTGGGATGCGATGACGCGTATTCTGTTCGTACGTCGATCTGTGAATCACGTTGCGAAATATAAATAGTGGTGATGTTTGTGGGTGTTGGTTGTGTCAATGGGAAAAATGGCGATAATGCAAAGTCGCGTTTAGGTGACGACGTAGAATCGATGCCATAGAAGCGAGTTTCCGTGTATTTTAGAATGTAAAGATGTGAGATGGGAATTAAGAATGAGTTTATTTCTGATGAGTCATAGATTGACATATGAATCAATGCAGTCGATAAGAATGTCGAGTTTGTTGCTGAAGTGTCTAAAAAGAATCCAAAAGTTGGAGCTTCTGTTAGTTTATATGAGGAATATTTGTCCCCTTGGAAAATAGCACAACTCGTATCTGGCGTCGATTTCATTAAGGAATCAGACGACGAAACCGTTTTTTTGTCTGCACTTGTAATTTTCGAGGACACGCTCAATCCCGAAATCGGATTCATGCTAACATCTTGAAGACAGAATTGTATTGTTGGTAGACTGGTTTTTGTGTTTCCATCTGTAAGTGTAGTGTACTCGACTAAAGCCGGGGCCGTGTATTTTTGATAAATTGATGTAAGGATAAACCAAGCAAAGAAAAACACAAAAATCGATATTGTGATGGTTCGAAGTATCTTTTCGAGTGTTGTTAGATTATTTGCGGACACCATTATTTTGGTTCTTTATTTGAAATGAATTTGAACGGAATAATGAAAAATTTTATATTATTCTCATAGATTCTCTGAATTTGTGGCTTCGAAATCTTTTTTGAGGAGGCTTCTGACATGGGGCTATGTTATATCTTTCACGTGGTAGCTTTCTATATTTCGATGTGGCTTTGTAGTTTTTGCAACCAAGTCTATCCTAGCATGGTTAAAAATCTAATGATTGGTTAATTTAAAGAAAAGTGATCTACATTTTTCCTAAATTAGATAAAATTGAGATCATTGGCTGATGTCTCATCAATGAGTGTGCGATTTGCTTTACAAGGGAAATTTTACACGCGATTAACGTTAAAGGAAAGTTTGGTTAGCGTTAATCGATATCGATATAAATGTCGTTTTTGGGGTCGGATTCCTAACGATAATGTTCCACTGCTATGCCTTTTAAACTTAACGAGCAATCACGAATCAAGAGAAATAAATAGTTGACAACATAGCCAATTAATATCATTTGCAAGTCCTCCTTGACTTTGAAAATAGCATAAATTTTTTATGACTATAAAAAGTGAAAGTTTATTAAATGTTGTCGTGGTGCGAACTATTAACTGTTAGCGCTCGTATCCAATTGCTAGCAATCCTTTCACTATGTCTTTAAAAAATTAATCGCTTCACGAGTATAACTATTGACGATATGCCATATATTTCATCGCTTCGCCAAATTAACTAACCATTTCAAATTGGATTTCTAAAATTAAATAAATAAATAACTGGTTTCCTTCACCAATAAAGTTGATATTTAGCATTTAAATAATAGCTATAGTAAAATTCTGATCAAATTAAACTAGCTGAATTTTGATTTGTTGTATAATTTTGAACTTCAAGTTCAAATTTGATTTTTGATAATCAAAAATCATAATTATAACTTTATTAAATATGTGCATAACAAGTCAATTTTATAAATTCTATAAATTTCTTTACTAAAAAATAAAATTCAAAATTTAATTTGTAAATATAATATTGTAACAATTTTCACATACCCTTGTAATTTCTTGTATCATATTTAAGGTTGCTTGCCGAAATCCCTTAGTGACTGTCTAAATTTTGTTGAAATTATAATAAACTATTAGTAAATAACCCGTTGAAATTCTGACGAATTTTGAAATCTGTCGTAACCGAAATTATGTCAAAATTCTAATTAACAATTAGTGTGTAACCTGTTGAAATTATGACGATATTTTTCTGAAAGGATTTAGGCAAGCATCCTTAATCATATTTATTCTTTTTCGTGTTATGTTTATCATTTCTTGCATAACATATGTTAGAAATTAATACAGATCTATATTTAATACTTCTTAATGTTGTGCTAATTAGATCATATTATTAATTTGGATACACATTGTTTTTAATTACTTTTATTCATTCTTTTTCTTTTATTATTTTTAATTCATATTAATTATCTTTTATTATTATTTATATTTTATGGAATAATCTAATTGGAACATCCTGTTCCAGGAACAACCTCGATAAATCACGTGATATCTGACCGATTGATTTAATGCACATGACCTATATCTGATTGGCTGAACTCTGTATAACATCATCTTGTTTATTGTATTTGGCATTTCTTTTCATTGGTGAGCATTTTCGTTGATGTCGTTATTTCATTGGTGTAGTATTTACTAATTTCCCTCGAAGTTTTGATTGGTTGAGGATATTAAAGGTTAGTTTTAGCATTAGGATTAAGGGTTAGGATTAGGACTGAAGAAAAGATTATATGTAAGATTGTCTTTCCGACATTTTTTATTAGTGTTTCAAGCCAGATTTAAGCTTTTGTTTTCCATATTTTCGCATTATTCGTATTTTTAATTTCCTTAATTACATGTTTTTAATTATTCTTATTGGTTAAAACTATATTACATTGCAAGTTATATCACATTAATCGCAGATTCAATAATTTGGCCAATGACAAATCAAAATGTTTATGTGCAACTGCCAGTTTTTTACTTCAAATCAGTGCTCAAAATTCAAGGAAAACTCGTGTACTATTGAAATGAATGCAGAACTTTGTGAACAGGATATGAATTATGAGTTTTGGATGTCAAAAAGCAAGACTACACAAAACTTAACTATTCAAACTATTCAAGATAATAATTCTCTCGCTATATCTAATATAAAACCTACTTCCAACGTAAAATCTATTTTTCACGTAGAACTGACTAATCAAACACTTCAGAGTGACACAAATGAAGAAATAGCTGAATCAAGTAGCCAACTTCAAGATTCTGCAAATGAAGGTGAGATTGTTAGCTGTAATTTTAGTTACATTAGCATTATATTTCTTGCTTATTTTACCTATCTTACCTTTATCTAGATATAAACGCTTCTAATGAAATTGTAAATCTTTGTGTTGGTTATGTCTTTGAATCATGGGAAGATATCGATATGATTATAAAAACCTACGGCAAACGAGAAGGATTTGGCGTTGTTCAAAAAAGATTAAAGCTACATCCAGAGGATCATATAAAGCATCGTAGTTATAGATGCGAGTTTAGTGACCATTCTCAACCAAAAAAAAAAAGTTGCCGTTCATAATCACTGCGATTGTAAATCGAAATAACAAGGGTGCGAATGGCATGCCAATATTAACTCCCCAAGAAATGCCTCGCTCATAACTCTTACAACTTTTACCAATATACACAATCACCCATTACATCCTGATGCTCAACATTACACCTCGATATATCAAAATATTTCTGAAGATATTCTTAGCAAAATTTAATTTCTTACTGAAAATGGAAATTTATCAATTGGCACTCAAAAAAAGTTATTGAAGGCAAAATTTCCAACTAATCTATTCTTGACCGTGATCTTTCAAACGCCATACAAAAATTCAAAATTCATACTGATGAAAAGCTGAATGCATCTCGTCTGCTAACAACACTCCTTGAACACAAATCATACAATCATCAATGGGCCATTGAGTTCGAGCTGGACAATGAAAACTGACTTACCCACTTATTTTTGATGTTCCCAGAGCAAATTGTTCTTTGGTTAGAGTATTATGATGTCATTTTAAATGACAACACCGCCAAAACCAACCATTATCAAATGTCACTTTCACTTTTTTTCATTGTGAACAACAATACTAGATCACGTCTTGTCGCACAAGCTCTCATGTCGGACGAAACAACAGAGTCCTATAAATGGATCCTGGAATGCACAAAAAAAATAACAATGATTGAGCTATTAGTATTCATTACGAATGCGGATTCTGCAGCAGATGCCGCTGTCAGACAAACATATCAAAACACCTATTCAGTTTACTGTATTTTTCATATCAGCGAAAACCTACCAAAAAACCTCAAATCTAAGCTTCATAGCCAATATGAAAGCTTTGTTCATGACTTTTTCCTATGCCGCAACAGCCTGTGTAAAGAAAATTTCTATGAACGATGGTCACAACTTACTGAAAAGTACTCAAACGTTAAAGATTACCTGATGAGAGCGCTTTACCCCAGTTGACAAGTGTGAGCACGTGTATTTATATCAAAAATATTCACAACAGAAATTCAAACTACCTCTTGTGTCGAAGACCTCAACAGCATTGTCAAACACCTATTAACAACAAGTAGCAGTTTGTGTGATCTTGTTGATGTACTCGATGCAAGACTCCAAGATGAGACACAGTGGAATCAGTTTTTTGAATACCAGACTATGTTGTCTTGTATGGGAATTGTGTCAGTGGATCACGATCTTTTTCCTGAAATTGACAAAAAAATGTCCAAATATCTCATTCCCCACATATTGTCTGCAGAATGTCTGGAAATGTCACAATGCCTATATTTCGTTACAAGTCAAATAGATATTGTGAATAATAATGACGAGGTAAATCAAATCAAATACAAATATTCAAAGTCATTTAGATATAATCTAACATCTTATTATGTTTAGGATTTCAACCTTATCGTGATGGATGAATTCATTGAGGATTTATATGATACCAAACAAATTCTATTGAAATCAATAATTGCTGAAGTTGGCGAAGAAAATGTTCGAGAAGTATGAAAAATTAAAGACATGCGATCCAGAAATAGCAAACACTCGCATTTTGTAGTAGTGGTTGATTATATTTTTTACCTATGTTCGTGCATGTCAAACATATCTTGTGACATCATCTGTCACCATTATTTCCAGGTAATGATGTATTCAAAAGTCGCAGGATTTCATATTCAAATGATACCTGTTCGGTGGTATAATGATGAACAAAAAGACAAGGATATAATTATGAGTGCCTGCTGTTTTGCGAATCAAGAATCAGCGAAGAATCAACTGAACGAAATACTAATGCCAAATCCCTCGACTATATCCAAGTCCATGACGTGTGTTTTACGTCATGCAGCACAATGAAAAGTCAAATATGGAGAGGTATGGGGATTGGCGTGACATGCAACCCAGCTTGCTGTTGATTACGGTGACCATAGTGAGATGATGGCATGGTTAAAAGAGTTCATTGGCTGGCACAAAAAAACAGTGGCTACACTTACCGGGTCAGTGCGAAATTGGAATCTCCAAGAACCTTTCAAAATCCAAGCTAATGATGAAAACAAGGAAAATGAACCTGGATCAATTGAAAATTCATTAGTGTCAAGATGAAAGAGACGTCCAGAAACCAAACGTTATAAATCTGCGACTGAAAAAAAGAAAAATCACACACATATACCTGCGGTGCATGTGGTCAAACAGAATACAATAACGCGACATATCAAAATCGCTAGGTATTTACACATTTTTTATTCATTCATTTTTTCTATTTAATTACACAACTCAAATTACATCTCTTTATTTAGATCACCATGATATATTTGGCGTCGCTAGTAATATGCATCAAGATTTAATTTTTCATCACAAAGATTTACTCCGTTATTAGAACATCATTCAGATGTTGGTAATGGTACTAGTAGTAATATCAATAGTAATAACGTTGCATTGTCATTATCAATATCCAATCATTTTGCCCAATAAAAATTACAATAGGCGAAGATTATCATGTTTTTGTCCAATAAAAATCACGATATATTACATTTTTAATAACCAATCAAATAAAAATTCTAAAATTCTGGTCCTAGTCAAACTGATTTTCTGAGATAGTCCCTGGAACAGGATGTTCCAATTAGATTCATCCATATTTTATACATATTCATTAAGTATAGCATAATTTGGAGATATATTACCTTTAAGATTAATAATTTAGAATCAATTACTTTCTATTTTATTATTAAATTATTTGTAATTCGTTTAACATCAATTATGTATTTAAATGTCTCTGTTCTGTACTATAACTTTTTAGATTTTTTCACTATTTAATAAATAAAGAATAAAAACTATCTCAATTAATATAATTTATTTATAGTAATTAATAAATTTATCTTATTACTTTTCATGTAAGAAAGTATTCTTACATAAATAAATAAGTGATATTAAATATTTTGAGATAATTATATTAAATCTTTTCTGTTAGTCTGTTTGAAACTTTGCTGAATGTGCCTTAAATTTGTAACAGCATCATCTGATAAATAATTGGTAGTTTGACATTGATGTGATCTATTCATATGTCTGCACAAACTATCTGTACATCTGTGTGAACTATTTATATGTCTGTATAATTTATATGCATCTGAAATAGTGTTACATTTATTTTTAATGATTCTGTAATTAATGAATCTTTCAAAAATAGTAGAAAATATAAAAATTTTCAAAAATAGTAACAAAACAACAAATTAATAAAAAAAGTACATACATTTAATAATCATATAATAACTATTATTTACTTTTTCTATCTTTATTTTCTACTTTTCCTACTTTTTATATCTTATTTAACTACCTTTTCTATCTTTTATACTTTTATTTTCTACCTTTTATACTTTTTCTACCTTTATTTTCTATCTTTTTTATCTTTTATACCTTATTTATCTACCTTTTCTATCTTTTCTATCCTATTTATCTACCTTTTTTACCTTTTCTACTCTATTTATTTATCTTTTCTATCTTTTCTATCTTCAATATTTACTCTTTCTACCTTTACTACCCTTACTTTCTACCTTTTCTACCTTTTATATATATCTTTTTATAAAACTAACTTCTTTGCTCGCAAGAGTTTACCAACTGAAATTAAAGAATTATTTCAGAAAATATTAACTAACTATGAGAAAGCATTTTATAATATAGATAAAATTAAAATGTATTAACAAATTTTGTATAAATAGAGGTGCTCTTCCATATATCAATCTCATATTTTAATGCTTAAACAAATTAATAAATTTTAATCTTGTTACAATAAGTTAATGATTGCCTTATTGTTATAAAATTAATATTTATTCTTGTATCTTCTTCCATCAAAACAAGTTGTCTGGCAAAATAATTTGTTGATTGAACTTCAAATCTTGTAATTCAAGTTGCTTTTCGTAAATCTTGAGCAAAATCAAGAAACTGAATATTGATTTGTGTAGAATTGAATTTCTGATTATTACTTTTGTCTTTGAATTTGAAAAAGACAGTTAAGTATTTTTGGATAAGTATATTGATTTGCTATAGCATTATTTTTGGTATAGTTATGCACCATAACTTTAAATAAGTAATATTAATTTGTATAGTTGTGCATTGTAACTTTAAATAAGTGATATTGATTTGTATAGTTGTGCATTACAACTTTAAATAAGTGATATTGATTTGTATAGTTGTGCACCACAACTTTAAATAAGTGATAATTCTTTTAGTTATTCATTTCTTTTGGTATTGAAAGTACTAGAACGTACGACTACAAGTATAAAAATATCAATAACCTTTTCTTTAGTTAGCAACCACTTTTTATTAATTATTTCTCTGAACACACTCTTCCAACCCCTCTTTTCATCTTTGATAGAATTGTTTAACATTTTCTGTCAAAACAGGCACAGGCTTAGATACTTATTTTTGCATTAACCAATTTTATTAGTTTATTCCTCTCTCCCAACTCATATAATTCTTTTACTAATAGTGAAGAAATCCTTTATTTAAAGTAACCATAGCATATTTTGGTGCTCTCTCTGTGGATTTTTCAAATTATCAAATCTCTTTTTCCTTCTAATATCATTTAATTAACCCTCTTACCTCATTTAAAAATCAATTACCAAAAACTAGTTCTCTTTTTACAACTCCTTTTGTGAATATTTATATTCCAACCCTTAATTAAAACTTCTCTTTATAGATAATTATTATAACTTTATTGGAGAACTTACTATCACACATCTCAACACTCATCTGAAAAATCAACGTCAAGAAATAACACTTTGAATAACTCAGCAATATTATTATCATATTTGCTTTCCATCTTTTGATACAACAACTGAACCCTTAGCCAATTTTCTCAACTGGATTCAAGAATGAGATGCAATATCTGGATCTTTTATCACTAAATAATTATTCGAAGACATTATTGTAGCAAATCTTAACACTCTTGAAAGAGAAGAACTATGAAGACAAGTAATTCAATTATCAAACACCCTAATTTATCAAAATCGACATACAGTTAAACACCAACTCTTCTTAGTCAAACAACACTTAAAGGCTTTCTCAATCAAGAATTCAAAGAAGATCCTAATTTATCTGACAGCTTCTACTCTGAGACAACTAGCAACACAGAAGCAACTGAAATAAATTGCTTCTTTACTAGCAGTTATGACTTCATATCTGAATTCAACACATACACTGATTTCTCAGTACCCCATTTCAAAATAACCACAATAAACACTCAAGCAGTTATTGATGCAATCAGTGAATTGGTCCTTTCACTAAATTATAAAAACAATGAAAAGATAATTATTCAAATTTGAAAATATAAAGGTGAAGATCAAGATCCTATAGAATGGCTCCGAGATTTTGAAGTGGCAGCATTAGCCAATGGAATTACTGATAATCAAAAGATTCAAGTTGTCCGTGAATATCTTGAAGACACTGTCGCATCATGATTTGATGAGCAACAAAATTTACAAAATGATACCTTACAAGACTGGTCCAATGACAATTAAGATTATACAAATTTCAAGTTTTGCTTTGAACAACAATTTAGAACTCAACAAAAACTGGACAGATAGCAAGATGAGCTTGAAACTTTGCAACAAACAGGATTTGTTGAACAGTACACCAACTGATTCAATGAACTAATTCGCAAAGTAGATCCTGATGGAAATTACCACTTGTTATACAAAAAAAGAATATATCAACATGAATTGAATACAGCCATTCAAAAATGGATCACTTTTCAAGATGAAAACACCTTTCAAGAACTTGTTGATGCAGCAAAACTATCTGAAAAAGCTGAAAAAGAAACTGTACCAAAACCAAGTCATTAAAATCTGGCTCAAAACTCTTCTAATATGATCACTCTAGTTTCAGCTATTCAACAAATATCTATTCAATTAAACAAAATGGAAAATAAATCATCACAACAACCCCAGAACTTTGGAAACTGTAATTAACAATATTAATCACCTACTTGTTATAATTACAGAAAAATTGGACATACCTTTAGAATGTACAGTCAACCCTTCAACTCTGAAAATTTCTGACGAAATGCAGACCAAAACAACAATAACTAGAGAAATCAGCTGAGACAAAACCAGAACCAAGGTAACAATATTCAAAATAATACCAGTCACAATAATCAATCAGTGACAAATAATTCCAATACAACAAATATCACAGTTCTTTTGAATCAATTACAACCATTACTTATAGCTTTGCAATTCATAAATAATGAATAACAATCTTCATCTAACAACCCTTCTAGAACTACTCTTCTTGTAAACAAACAATATAATGCAAATGAAAGAAAGCCAAAACAAAGCATAATGATGATGTTATAATAGAAAATGATACTGATAAAGCTGGACCAAGTAATTCAATTATTGATATTCTGTCTCCAAACATGCAAGAACCAACTATACCAATTAAAACTGCTGAACTTGAAAAACAAGTAAGAAAAAAGAAAGGCAAAGTAGTACTACCAGTTCTCACTGACCAATCCTTACTCTATGATATCCTAGAAGATATGATCAATGCAAAAGCGAATATCTCATTTGGTTAACTTATTCAAACTTCTCCTGAACAAAGACTCAAATTATCCAAAGGTTTGAGAAGACTGATCAAATTCAAAAGAGTTTCAAAACACAAAACTATGATTGGACAAAAGCTAAGAACCACCTTAGCCTGGTGTGAAGCAAAGATTGGAACTGTACCAATTGATCTAATTCTTGATACTGAAGCATTTGGTTATGTTGTGAGCCATGAATTTTTGAAAAAATGGAATATCAAGATCCAATAAAAATCTGAAGTCACTATGACTGATATTACTGGAACTGTTAATCATTCACTTGGAGCTATCGATAATTTTCCAATTACTATTGACAAACTCACTATCCCAGCTGACATTAATGTTATCTCTGTACAAACTTATAACGTAATTGTTGGAATAGATTGACTTAACAAAATTAAGGCTAATTTGGATCTTAAAAAGAAAATTATGACTTTTGAATGGAATGATTAGAAAGGACAAGCCAATATCAAGTTTATCTATGATCAAGATTATGATTCACCTAATACTGATAGATTCAATGACT